TGTGATAAGAGTTGTAGGAGCCCCCAGTAAAATGATTAAAAAAAAAAAAAAGTTGTCTGGAAACAAGAAGGAAGACCATTTGAAAATCTGATTAGGACTCTGTCTGCTGTGCTGACAGAGCTTCCGAGGCCTCGGCCATGTGAGGGGCCACAGCACTGGAAGGTGGGTCTGGAGGGTGTGTGAAGTTAGGGAGAGATGAGGCCGGGGGGTGGGGGGGCGGAAGCTGGGAGTGGGGTGACGCATATCAGAATATTCAAAGGGATTATGTATTTCAATATAACCAAACTAGACACTAGCTTTTGAAGATTCTGATAAATAATAAATCTCTCAAACTAGGCTGCTCCAGGAGAAAGCTCTTTCCCATCTCCCCTGGCCCGAGAGGAAGAAGTAAAAGGAAATCATAAATTCCTGAGTTCGGGAATATATCTTAACTATTCTGATTTCTTCCTAATCTCTAGCTCATGTTCTACAAACTCCCAATACATGCTTTGAAATCAGTCATAGCAAAGTGCTTACAACCTGCCCCCAGCCCCAATGCTTCCCCTCCGGCCTGCATGCATTCTCTTGGCCTGGAATGCTTATCTGCTTATACAGTATCTTCAAACGTGCTTCCCATTCTTCAAGTCTCACCTCAAGCCATTGTCTTCTCTCTGGCACACCCTTCTTTCCCTCCTGTGAACTCGGGGTTCTCTTCTGGTGTACATCTCCTCCATCGATGGGGAGTAAATGCCTCTTATTTAGTATCATCATTGTATCTGGCACAGCTCAGCATATTTTAAATGGAAAGAAATCAAGAAAAATTCAAACCTCAAGTTGCATTATTGAAAGATTCTTTAGGGAAAACATTGAATGATGGAGGAAGTATCAAGATAAGATGGGAAGAATACAGAATCACTGTACCAAAAAGACTGGTCAACTTTCAACCATTTCAAGAGGTTGCACGTGAGCAAGTCAATGATATTGAAGGAAGAAGTTCAAGCTACACTGAAAACGTTAGCCAAAATCAAGACTCCAGGAAGTAATGGAACATCAATTACGTACTGATATGCACTGGAAGCACTCATTCATCTATGCCAGGAAATTTTGGAGAGAGCTAATTGGCCAACTAACTGAAGAAAATCCATATTTGTACCTATTCCAAAGTAAACAGGACCCAACAGAATGCTGAAATTTTAGAACAATAGCATTAAACTCACATGCAAGTAAAATTTTGCTAAAGATCATCCAATAATTGTTGCAGCAGTACATTGATAGGAAGCTATCAACAGTTCAGGCGATATTCAGAAGAGGATAGGAAACAAGACCTATCATTGCTGATATCAGATGGGTCTTAGCTGAAAGCAGAGAACACCAGAAAGATGTTCACTTGTGTTTTATTGACTATGCCAAGGCATTCAACTGTGTGGATTATAACAAACTATGGATAGCCTTGAGAAGATTGGGAGTTCCAGAAAACTCTATTGTGCTCACGAGGAACTTGTACCTGGATCAAGAAGCAGTTGTGAAAATAGAACAAAGGAATAATGAATAGTTGAAAATCAGAAAAGGTGTGAGACAGGGTTGTTTCCTCTCACCATATTTATTTAATCTGTATGCTGAGCAATTCATCCAAGAAGCTGGATTATATGAAGAATACTGTGGCATGAGGAATGAAGGAAGGCTTATTGACAACCAGCCATGTGCAGATGACACAACCTTGCTTGCTGAAAGTGAGGAGGACTTGAAGCACTTGTTGATGAAGATCAGAGAGTGCAGCCTTCAGTGTGAATTACAACTCTTTGTAAAGAAAACCAAAATCCTCACAACTGGACCAATAGGTATTATCATGATAAATGGAGAAAGATTGAAGTTTTCAAGGATTTTGTCTTGGTGGGATCTACAATCAATGCTCATGGAAGCAGCCTCAAGAGATCAAGCAATGCATTGAACTGGGTAAATGTGCACAAGACCTCTCTAGAGTACTGAAAAGCAAGGATGATACTTTGAAGACTAAGGTGCAGCCACCATGGCATTGTCAATAGCCTCATATGCATCTGAAAGTTGAACATTGAATAAGGAACATGGTAGAATAGATTCATTTGAATTGTGATGCTGGAGAAGAATAGTCAAAGTATTGTGGACTGGTAAAAGGAGAATTCGATCTGTTGGAAGAAGTAAGGCCACGCTGCTCCTTAGAGGCAATCGTGCCAAGACTTCATCTTATGTGCTTTTGGTCATGTTGCCAGAAGACACCAGTCCCCGGAGAAGGAGATCATGTTTGGTCAAGCACAGGGGCAGTAAAAGAGAGGAAGACCCTCAACTAGATGGATTGACACAGTGGCTGCAACAACAAGCTCAAGGACAGAAACATTTGTGAGATGGCACAGTACCAGGCAGTGTTCCTCCCTGTTGGGCATAGGGTGGTTATGGATCAGAACCAACTTGATAGCACTTAACAACAGCAGCAACATCTGGCGCAGAGTAACTTACAAGTACTTGCTTAGAAAATAATGGATGCAATACCATCCCCAAAGGGAGCACACCTAATGGAGATTATTCAGAAATGACACCTCAGGATTATGAAAGAAGCCCCTGTCAATCTTATTTAAGCAACGAATCCATTAGCCTCTGTATTATCATCAAATTCAGATGTATCGATATAAAACAGCCAGCATTACACACACAAACATAGTTAACAGAATCTGAGTCCTTAACAGTAAAGGATGATCAGACTACTGATCATCAAATGGAAGCAGAGCTGCTTCATAACTGTAATTTTGCTACTGTTATGATCGTCATATAAATATTTGATATGCAGGATGTGTTTTCATTGTTACAAATTGAACATAATTAAAACATAATGATGAATCCCAAAACATTATGTGATTGTATATTATGAAATATTTATTTCTAATGACAAATCAGTGAAATTTTGTCTTGAAGCATGGTATAGCATGAGTAACAGTCTTCATGCGGGTACTCGTATGTGGACATATCTGCGTGTGGGCGGACCTGCCCAGAGATGGACAGAGGAGGGAGTCTTGGGTCCTAAGACCATCGGACATATGTGTTTTCTGATGGTCTTAGGCGACCCCTGAGAAAGGGTTGTTCGACCCCCAAAGAGGTTTTGACCCACAGGTTGAGAACCGCTGCTCCAATTACTTTTGAACAAAAAAATGAAAGTCTCTGTTCCAAGAATTAAAGAAAGGAAGGAAGGAAGGTTGGAAAGCACTTTCTCTGGTGGCCCTTCTGGGTAAGCGTTGGGCTACTACACCGAAGGTTTGAGGGTCAAACCCTCAGACCTCCTCAAAGGGAGAAAGACAAGCTTTCTGCTCTCCTAAAGTTGACAGCCATGGAAACTCACAAGGGCAGTTCTATCCTGTCCTGTGGGGTTCCCTATGAATCCGAATGAACTCGATGGCAGTGGGTTTGGGGTTTTTTTGTTTTTCACTTTTTGGGGGGAGGGGTTTTCAGTGCCAACACGCTGCTAGACGCTGATGATGAAGAGGGAAGTGTACCAGTAGAGAATCGTCCCCGCTTTTTGCTCATCATTGGCTCACAGAAAAGACCTTACACTTACTAAGAGCTTTCTCTCATCACTTGCCTTTGTGCCATTGCCTGGATACTAAATGGTCAGAGTGACGTCCAGACCGTGGGTCCCCCACCCCACCCCACCCCACCCCCTGCCTCCCAGACCCTGTGAAGTCAGCGCTCTTAGGGGTGGGGCGTGGTGAAAGGTGGTGCTCACATACTCGACTTCCCAACTTTAGTTGTTTAATTTTTCACACTGAGAGAACAATGTTCAGCACAGCCAAAGCAAACAAGCAAGCAGTAAGAGACAATTGATTATCAAAATACTGGGAAGCATTCTAGAAATAAATTTATCAAAGAAGCACATGTTCCAAAATTGATTGTGGGAATGATTTTACAACTCTTCTTGATACGGTTGAACTATTGAATTGTATATTTTGATTATGTCCCAATAAAATTGTTTGCTACAAATTATAAATCATACAGTGTATATATATGTATATATAATATATAGTAGATGATATATTACATATTATATAAATAACATAGTTATAACATATATTTACATACTAGGGGATACCCCCCAAAACGGAATTGCGCTGGGTGGGGTGGAGCTTTTGTAGTGAGCATTTTTCCTGCTAGGTGAGCAAGGAGTAACTTCCCTGAGTCAGTACCCCCACTGGCATCGCCTGGGAAGGCTCTCTCGAGTCACAGTGAATTTTTTTTGTGAAGCACTTTGCTGGAACCTCGATTTTTTGTGATGGCCGATTTAAGAGAACAGAATACAGCTGTGAAATGTTGTTTTCTGCTCTGGAAAAATGCCGCAGAAACTGTTGTGGTGTTGAACACAGCTTACAAGGAGAATGCTATGGGGAAAACCCAAGTATACAGTGGTTTTCTCATTTCAAAAAAGGCGAAATGGCGATTTATGACAAACTTCATTCTGGATGTCCAACAATGTCCTGATCCGATGAAAATGTCAACTCACAGTGCATCTGGAGTTCATTCCACCAGGTCAGACTGTTAACCAAGTTTTCTATTTAGAGGTACTGAAAAGATAGTGTAACAGCGTGTGACAAAAAAAAAAAAAAGCCTGATTTGCGGCAGACCGGGGACTGGTTTTGCCACCACAACAATGCACCTGCTCATGCAGCCATCTCAGTGCGCCAGTTTTGCGCCAGTTTTTGGCAATAAAACAGCATGCCTCTCTTGCCCCACACACCTTACTCATCTGACTTCACTCCGTGCAACTTCATTTTATCTCAGCAAATGAAGAGGGACACGAAAGGACAGCGAGTTGATTACATAGAAGAGGCGAAGGAAAAAATGAGGGAGGTACTGTCAGCCATCCAAACAGATGAGTTTGAAAAATGTTTCCAAGAATGGAATTGCAGATTTGACAAGTGTACCAAGTGTAATAGGGAGTACTTTGAAGGTGGTAAGGTTGTTTTGTGGGGAAAAAAATTAGATACATAGCTTTGAAAAAATTCTGGCTTTTTTGGGAGGGGTTACTATATATATATATCATATAAGGTGGATTCCCAGGATAAGGCTTATCCAATGCTCTCCAGATAAGCTGACCCCTGTAATTTCCCCAAATGTAGGAAACTCCATGGCATCATTTGTGGTAGTGGAGGACTGGGTTCATGCTCTCCCTTCATATATATATATAATTTTCCCAAGGTCAAAATAACGAATATGTGCAGAAAATAAGGCAGGGGGAAAGAGCCTGGAAGTAAAGAAGAAATGGAGTGAGTGGGATACCCATTGGCATTGTTTACCAAACACCAAATGACCAAGAGAACACTTAATAGTGGAGATCTCCAAGGATTTGAATAATGACCATTTTGCTAGAAGGCAGAGTGGAAGTTGCAGCTCTCTGATGAGCTTTTATGAACAAGAAGCTGTATCAGGAAGAAAAAGAAATGTATGGCTATGTGGGGGGGGCGGTGTGCTGGTAGGGCTAATTCAAGCCAGAGCTGTATTCCCAGTCAAAGGCTCAAGAGCATGGGGTTCATGTGGCCAAAGCAAGATGTGGAGCAATCATAGGATCTTAAACGTGAAGGCTGAGATCTGCCATGCTACTCCACAGAATTCACATGCAATGCTACCCAAATCCCGTGTTCAGAAAATAAAAGATAAATGCTCCACTATGCTCCAACCATTTCAACCTCCGGCTCTCCATGCCAGCGGCCTTAATAATCACCTTGGAACAGAACACACATTTCTGGCTAGGTGGAGATAGTAGGGATGCCTCGTTGGAAGTCAATGCCAACAACAGTTCTATTTAATGCTGCTCACTGCTTTATCACAGACCTCTCTGAAATGTACCCCACCAAAGCATATTGTTTCAAAATCCAAGATTCATCAATTTCTCAGCTTGAGACAACCAATCAAGAACAAAAGCCAGCTTCCAAAATAGGCAAAGGGGAAGATTATTTGTAATACGGTGAACAGACCATTCTTTAAAATATTTGAGTTACTGAACTATGTTTCACAGTGTGTGTGTACTCGATGAACTACTTAGGACACTGACCTATCAAAATGTGGGTGTCATGGTCATTGTGCTATTATTATAGTTCCCAGATTACAGAAGAATAAATTACATCTTGGATAATTTAAATAATGAATCTAAGATGACAATAATCAAACCAAAAACCAAAGTCACTGGCACTGAACCTATGCCAACTCATAGAGACCTGCAAGTTAGATTTGTTCACATGTATCTTGTCTTCCGAGACATACTACTCTTATCTCTTTTATCACATAGCTTCTCTTGTTTCTTTCTATTATCTTAAATGTTCTACAATATTAGTAAGGAGTCTTATGGCATATACTTAGCTACTTGACTGCTAACCAGTCAGTAGTTCAAACCTACCAGCTGCTCTGCATTAAATGGTGTAGGAACAGTTTTAGGCTTATAATACAAATGTGATTGAGAGTGGCAATTTTATAATTGGATAAAAGACATAGACTGATTGGTGTAATATCAGATATGCCCTGCAATATGCCAAAATAGGTTGTAAAATATTGGGTACACATTTTCCTGTTTACTTGAATTTTAAATATTGAAAAATATATATATTTTATGAAAAATTCTAGTGTTTCAAAAATACTGGCTGCTTTTTACAAGTTTCCCTTATTAGAAAACTCTAAAGTAGACTAAATGTCCTAAAATGTGCATCACATTCTAACTTTTATGCTTGACTATCTCACTGTGGTCAAAATACCACTATTTAATAATAGTATAAATACAAAACATTCCTCAGCATTTGCCCCAAGAATGACTGAAATGCAGCCTTAAGGCCTCTAATTTCACATCTACAGTTTTGTAAATTCCCTATAATCCACATATTTACTCATTATCAATGAATATAAAGAAAATGGTCAAGGATGCAAGAAAAACAAAAGCATGTATTGTTCCAAGAAGCCTAAAGAGTAGTGAGTTTCGGGAAGGAGGGAGGATTCAAGCACAGTTGTTCTTATTGGTGTGAGTGCCCACCGAGTTAACTCATACTCATGGTGACCCCATGTACAACAGAAAGAAACTTTGCTCCACCCCCCACCCCCTCATTTACAATCATTGGTTTGGTCTAGTGCAGCAGTTCTCAACCTGTGGGTCGAGACCCCTTTGGGATCAAGTGACACTTTCACAGGGGTCACCCGATTCATAAAAGTAGCAAAATTACAGTTATGAAGTAGCAACAAAAATAATTTTATGGTTGGGGGTTCACCACAACATGAGGAACTGTATTAAAGAGTGGCGGCATTAGAAAGGTTGAGAACCACGGCTCTAGTGCATTGTTGCACAGGTTTTTATTTTTTTATTAAATACTTTTATTGGGGGCTCTTACATCTCATCACAATCCATACATTCATCCATTGTGTCACGCATATTTGCATGTATGCTGCCATCATTTTCAAAGCATTTTCTTTCTACTTGAGCCCTTGATAACAGCTCCTCATTTTTTCCCTCTCCCTCCCCTGGCTGCCCTCCCTCATGAACCCTTGATAAGTTATATATTATTATTTTCATACTTTACGTCATCCTCTGTCACCCTTCACCCATTTTTCTGTTGTTTGTCCCCCTGGGAGGGGGTTATATGTTGATCCTTGTGACTGATTCCCCTTTTCTCTCCTCACCTTCCCCTAATCCTCCTGGTATATCTATTCTCATTGTTGGCATTGAGGGGTTTATCCTGGATTCCCTGTGCTGTGGCCTATTATATGTGGCAGTGTGTATATTCTGGCCTAATCCAATTTGTAAGGTAGAATTGAGGTCTTGATAGTGGGGGAAGGAATATTTAAAGGACTAGAGGAAAGTTGTATGTTTCATTGGTGCTATACTGCACCCTGACTGGCTCATCTTTTCCTTGTGACCCTTCTGTGAGACGATATCCAATTGTCTGCAGATGGGCTTTGTGTCTCCATTCCATACCCACCCACCCCAATTCACCATGGGTATGATTTTGTTCTGGGTCTTAGATGCCTGATCCCTGATCCCATTGACACCTCATGATCACACAGACTGGTGTGCTTCTTCCATGTAGGCTTTGTTGCTTCTCAGCTAAATGGCCACTTGTTTATCTTGAATCCTTTAAGACCCCAGATACTATATCTTTTGATAGCCAGGCACCATCAACTTTCTTCACCACATTTGCTTATGCCCCCATTTTGTCTTCAGTGATCATGTCAGGAAGGTGAGTATCACAGAATGCCAGATGTTTAGAATAAAGTGCTTTTGTGTTGAGGGAGTACTTGACTTAAAGCCCAATGTTTATCTGAAACCTTAATTCTTAACATATAAATATAAGTACATAGATCTATTCCCCTCTCATATATAAATATATTTCCATATGTACACATGCCTGTATGTAGACCTCTATAAATGTCCTTTGCCTCCTGGTTCTTTCCTCTATTTCTGTTCTTTCCTCTTGTCCCATCATCATGTTCAACCTCCATTCAGGTCTAGCAATTCCTCGCTGCTACACGGCCCTTGACAAACCTCACTAGGTAACCCACGCCCTTCTCTCCATAGATTATAGTTCTTGTTGTTCCATTGTCCCTAGGCTGGTCACCCTCCCCCACTTCCTTTCTCCCACCTCCCCCTCTCCCATATCCTCCTGAACCATCAGTCCCATTCTCTTCATTTCCAAATTGTTTATCCCACCTATCTCATCTAGACAGACATGCAGGGACATTACTAAGCACAAAAACTAGGCAAATCCAAACAAAACAACAAAGGAAGTCAAAACCAACAAACAATAACACCAACAAATACAACCAAAACCAAAATAACAACAACAAAATGAAAGCCATTGACAAAAATGGAAAAGCCTATAAATAGTTCAAGGTCTGTCTGTTGGCCTCTACAAGTGCCTTCCAGGTAAGTCTGATGGTTTGCCACATTGTCTCCAAAGTCTATTTTTGGTGTTCCCAGGGGATTTCATTACTTTGCTCCCCTTGATGCTCTCTTGTGTCCCCTTAGTGTTTCACCCCAGTGTGATGGAGTCAGATTGGGCACTATTCCTGCACGGTGTCTCCAGTGTTGTCCCCATAGTGCTATGGTTCAGTCAGGGATGCCTCGTCTCGTGGCAGGCCTGGCCCTGTGGTCTGCTCTGTGCATAGTCTGCTCTGTGCATTGTCTGCTCTGAGCAGGAATATTGTCCTTGGAGCTTGGTGGGCCAGGATGTGTTCCCCTCTTTCTCCATCCTTCTTTGTTTCTCCTGTGTGCTTTAATCAGACATGCCCCTCTCCCCTATCTGTAGCTTCTGTGCTGTCCTCTAAGGTGCATTCTTCAGTGAGGGGGGTGGGGGCGGTATCCATATAGTGGGGTTGTGGCCAACCCCACAGATCTCACTATTGGTTCCCTGGTACATGCCAGTATGTTGTATTTATATCTTGGCGCATCAGGTGGAAGCCTGGTCTCTCTTTCCCTCTCCTGTGGAGACTTAAACAGTACCCTCCTCTTGGGTGGGTTACTGTCCTGGTCCCCACCTACCCATGTCTTTTTTCTCTCTCTCTTTTTCTTCTCCTGTCCTATTTAGTTGACTGCCATACATATTCCTGGATTGGGTGGCCCCTCCCATAATACCTGGACATCACCCCAGGAATGTAAGTATATAGTAGCTTTTCCCCTATGCCCTATTTTTTTTAACTTGCCTCAGTGGACTCATATCGTACTTGTTCTTTTGTGCTTGGCTTACTTTGCTCAGCATAATTTCCTCCAGTTCTTCCCATGCGGCAATGTGCTTCATGCATTCATTGCTGCTTTTTAGGGATGCGTAGTCCTCCATTTTATGTATGTTTTTGATCCATTCTTCCGTTGATGGAAATTTGAGTTGTTTCCAACTCCTTGCAATTGTGAACTCTGCCGTGATGAACATTGGAGTGCAGATGTCTGGCCGTGGTTTGTTTCTTGCCTTTTCTGGGTATATGCCCAGTAGGGGAATTGCTGGGTCATGTGGTAGCTCGATTTCCCCATCTGTTTTAGATATCGCCAAATCGATTTCCATAGTGGCTGTTCACCAGCAGTGGATGAGAGTTCCTGTCTCATCCACCAGCAGTGGATGAGAGTGCAGGTCCACCAGCAGTGGATGAGAGTTCCTGTCTCACCCGAGCCCCTCCAACACTTCTTTGAGGGTGAATTGGCCTATCTTTGAGGGTGTTAGGTGGTATCTGTTTTAATTTGCATTTCTCTTATGGCTAATGATCGGGAACATTTTCTCATATGTTTATTGGCCCATTCGTATTTCTGCCCTTGTGAAACTTTTGTTTAGGTCCTTTGCCCACCTCCTTAGTGGGCAGTTATTTTTTTTTTCTTATTGTAAGCTTGCAAAGTATTGTAGATTTTAGTAATAAGGCCTTTGTCTGGTGGATATCTACCTGCAGAAAAGTGAAGCAAGACCCTTATCTCACTGCATGCACAAGAATAAACTCAAGGTGGATCACAGACCTTGAGGTAAACCCCCAAACTATTAGGGCCATCAATGAGGGAATTGAGACAAACCTGAGAACTTTGGTGCAGGGAATACATAGGCTATCGGAAATAGGGAAGGATACATATACAGAGGAATCACAAATTGACAAGTGGGATATAATGAAGATAAAACACCTGTGTACATCAAAAAAATTCACCAAGTGAGTAATCAGAGAGCCCACAGACTGGGAAAACATCTTTAGCAATGATATCACAGACAAAGGCCTGATGACTAAAATCTACAATACGTTGCATGTTTTGAGAAGCTTATAGCTGAGTGAAAGTCATCTCCCAACATAACTGGACAATATACTATTGTGACCCATAGAGTTTTCCTTGGCTGCTTTCCCAAAGCAGACTACCAGACCTTTCTTCCTAGTCTAAATCTGGAAGCTTATGGAGACCTGTCCATTGTGGGTGACATGGCAGGTACCTTAAGTCCTGGTGGCATAAATCCAACAGAGCACTTGTAAAGTAACAACTGAAAAATGTTTACCAACCTTGGCCACTGGGAGGTCACTGAGAGCCTGACCAAGAATTATTGTAGTGACGTGGTAGGACAGAAGCCACATGGCTTTGGGACAGTGGGCTCAGTAAATCCCAAGAGAGCCATGCCAAAACAAACTTATGGCAGATTGTTTGTAATACCAAACCAGTAAGACATGATTCTACTAAAAACATTTTTGTTAGTTAAAAGCAAATATTCCTTCTCTCATGAAAATCCTTATTTTCCCCTTGCTTTGCATTTCTCACTCATATTTCTTCGACTGTTTATACTGAAAAGCTTTATCTTTGTCAGATTAGATGTCACTAGGTCTCAATAGGTTCATTTGTGTATATTAAACTAGCAGTTATTAAGTGCAACTCAAGTGAAAGACAATAAATTGACCTAATCAGAAGATTATATTTAATGGGATTTGACACAAACCTAAAAGATGGAAAAATTTTTAAAAATCATACACTAAAATGTATTAAAAGTGGATGAGGATCTGCAGAAACACAGCCTCAAACATTTGTTTTTTGGGTAAATAGTTTATACATATTTAATTCAATTTCAATGATGTTGTTTGCTCCTCAGTGGGCACCACCATCGCCACTAAGTTGGCAGCTCATTTGTTTTGGGGAGAGCTCTTTGAACCAATCAGGGCCCAGATAATCTTATTATATCTCTGTGGGCTTGTGTTTCTTTTGATGAGAGTCTAGAGAAGTCATGGGAAATGCTTCACTGGGTGCCAGGAACTGCTTAAGTTTCAGTTGTACAAGGTCAGGTCTTAATTTAACCACCAACTGGATACTTAATTTTAGATACACAGAGGAACACATTGGCTCCAGGACATTTCCTCTGGTTTAGGAAGGCAAGTCCCCGGATAAGAACGGCAAGATGATCGTTCCAAAAGGTGAGATTATGAAATATTTGATCTGTACCTCATCAAATAGCTTCATGAATAGTTTAGTATTGGGGATTTTGGGACAGAAATAAATACACACAATACAGTCGCTACTCATTATTCTCTTTCTGCCTCAATCACCTTTGGGTTTGCATGTCTATAGCTTTTAAAATGATAGGAAAGTTGGGTTTGCTTGATTTGATTATAGAATGTTGATTCAAATGCCTAGTTATTAAGCACACTAAACAATCAGGTTAAGAATGAATATGCTTATTGCAAATATCAATACACATACTACAGAATCCTATGATGGTCTGAGTTTCTGAGAACAAAAAGATTCTCAGTGAATAATTCAAGCAAGTCTATTTACAAGAGGATGAAGAGAAGTCAAGGTGTGGGTGAAAGGTAAATTATTGGGTGGTTTGATTCATCATGCAAACTGTGGAATTCGAAGTTGACCTGAAAAGTAAATCTCCACCTAACTTACAATAAAAAATTGTTATAAATTTTAAAAATAATAAAGTATTTCAAAGCTGTTCCATTATTTATTGCCGAAAACGATCTCTACCATAAAATGATAATGATGTCTCTAAAATGAACTAGAAACATATAAACCATAGATCTATGAATGGATTTTGGGGTCCCACTTAATTCTCAGCCCAACCTAAGAACAGTTAGTTCTTATGACATGGCCCTACTTGATGCTCGCACTCATGAAGAGATCACTGAAGATACGGGTGCTATAGAAAAATGTGTGAAGAAACCAGATGATGCCCAGATGTTAGAAATAATAGAAACTAAGATCTTAAAGGTTTGTCTTAAAAAAGCAGTCATCTAAGTGAGGCATCAACCAAGTCCACATGGAGGAAGCACACCAGCCTCTGTGATCCAAGGATTGTAAATAATAAAATCCAAATCTGAAGGTGGGAGTTATAGTTGGCATTGTTTCTGGTGAAAAGTTTAGAAGACATAGGTAACAAAATCCCTTAGTACGTAGATTCTGTAGGTCTTGTGCTTAGCATGGTGACAGAATTAGTAGATGTATTAAACATTTTTGAATGAACTAATACATTTGGATTTCAAAAAGGTATTTGACTATGTTTCTTAGCAATGTTCTTGTCATCAGAAAGGAGCATTAATACTCAATGACAGTGTCTTTGGGAGCACCTGTAACTGGATAAACGGTTCTTTTTAAAAGGTGTTATGTAACTTTTATCAACGTGGAGGTCTCTGTCATAAGCCAATTTCTGTTCAAACCTTGTCATTACCTACCAATGGAGGTTATGGATGTCTAGGAGACAGTATGAAGTCCGAAAATAATACATTCAGAGGGATAGAAAATGCATAAGACCTTAACTGATTGGAATAATGGTCAAGTCTAAGAGAGATCTGTTAAAGGGCAAGGATATCACTTTGAGGACTAAGGTGCACCTGACCCAAGCTACTGTATTTTCAGTTGCCTCATATGTATGTGAGATTTGGACAATGAACAAGAAAAACTAAAGAGAAATTGCTGAATTTGAATTATGGTGTTGGCAAAGGATATTGAAAATACCATGGACTGCCAGAAGAACAAACCAATCTGCCCTGAAGGAAGAACAGCCACAATGCTTCTTAGAAGCTAGGATGGTGAGGCTTTGTTTCACGTACTTTGGACATATTATCAACAGAGAGAAGTCTCTGGAAAGGGTCACCATGCTTTGTAGAGTGTCAGCTAAAGAAGAAGTCCTTGGTGAGATGGATTGGCCCAGTGGCAACACTGTACTCAAATATAATAACAATTCTGAGGATGTTGCAGGGCCGAGCAGTGTTTCCTTCTGTTGTACAGAGGGTCATGAGGAGTTTGAACTGACTCACTAGCACCTAGCAACAATAACTACGAAGGGGGAATGTAATGGAGATTAAAAAAAAATCCTTCAGAGAATTGCACAAGAACAATACAGGAAAAAATATGACTAATTGGAAAGCCTGAAGATTCCTCTAAGTTTGGGCTACACAGCAGACATATGGAATCAAGGCAAAGGAAGGTGGGATGCCCACCTAGTGTGCTCCTCTAACTGCACCTGCAGCGCTTCATTCAAAACTCATCACTTTTAGAGAAAGATGGGGCTATGGGTTGAATTGGGTCCCGCCAAAATGGGTGTTGTAACTCCTATCCCCATACTTGTAGTTATAATTCCATTTGGGATTTTTTTGTTATGAGATAGTATTAGCATACTCTGTTTTAAACCAATCTCTTTCCGGTTATAATATACCAGATTAAGCAAAGAATTAAACAGAGATTGTGGGGGAGAGATACCATACCAGGAAGGAACTAGAAAGAGTCAAAGAGCTTCTCTCAAAGTTAAGAGAAAGATAAAACCTTCCCCTAGAGCCAGAGTCCCAAATTCGAACATCTGGGCTCCTAAACTGTTATATTTCTGCTTGTTAAAGCTGCCCTTTTGTATTTTTGTTACAGCAGCAGCCCTAGATAATTTAAACAGTGGAACAAACAGGAAGATGTGTGAGGGAAAGCCATGCAAGCAGTGAAGGGAGGGAAGTGAAGCATCTCACGTGCAAGAGGAATCGCATTTCTTCTGTGTGGCTCTGAAACATAGAACTAGGACCAGTGAATAGTGGTCAAGGAGATGGATTAAACCCCAGTGTTTTTTCTACTTGTTAAAAAGCTGGCTAGAGGTGAAGCAGCTGCCTAGGGAGATGGTGAGTTCCCTTTCACTCTGATGTTTCATACTGAGGTCCATGAACAGGTCCACATAAACATGATCAACAAGTACCTGTCCAAAGCTACTTGTTGATCATGTTATCAGTGGATCATATTGTCATATTGATGAGACTAGCTAATATTCTGTAACTCTAGGGAAAGACAGAACAAAGGATATCGTTGCTGATGTCAGATAGTAGGGAGTACCCACCAAGAAAAATGGAATTGAATTGGGCAAAGCAAAGTTTTGGTAATACATTTTTCCCAGCTGGGCAAGCTTCTAGCAACTCGTTCTGAGTTAGTGCACCCAGTGGCATCACCTGGGAAGGTTCTCTCTGGTCACAGGGAATTTTCCGTAAAAGCAGTTTTGCTCAAACCTCGTTTTTTTGTGATGCCCTATTTAAGAGTACAGTGTACAGCTGTGAAATTTTGTTTCCTGCTCGGGAAATTTGCCGCAGAACTGTTGCGATGTTGAACACAGCTTACTAGGACAGCACTACAGGAAAAACTCAAGTATATGAGTGGTTTTCTCGTTTCAAAAAGGTGAAATGTCGATTGAAGACAAACCTTGTTCTGGACATGGTGCATTTGGAGTTCCACATCTCAAGGTCAGGCTGTTCATCAAGCTTCCTATTTAGGGGTTCTGAAAAGATTGTGTAACAGTGTGTGACCCAAAAGGCCTGAATTGTGGCAGATGGGGGACTGGTTTTGCCACGTGACAATGCACCTGATCACATAGCCATCTCAGTGCACCAGTTTTTGGCAAAAAACAGTATGCCTCTCTTGCCCCAAGCACCTTACTCACCTGCTCTCACTCCGTGCAACTTCCTCCCCCCACCCCCGCCCCGAGAATGCAGAGGGATATGAAAGGACAGCAATATGATGATGTAGAAGAGGTAAAGGAAAAAAAATGGAGATGCTGTCAGACATCCAAATAGATGAGTTTGAAAACTGTTTCCAAGAATGGAATCTCAGATTTGACAAATGCATTAAGTGTAATGGAGAGTACTTTGAAGGTGATAAGATTGTTTTATTAAAAAAATTTAAATACATAGCTTGATGGAAAAATCAAGTTTGGGGTATACTCCCTTGTAGATCTTAGCTGAGGGCAGAGAATACCAGAAAGATGCTTACCTGTATTTTATTGGCTGTGCAAAGGCATACAACTGTGTGTATCATAACCAACTAAGGATAACATTGTGAAGAATGGTGATTGCAGACTTCTCAATCGTGTTTCTGTGGAACCTGGACAGGGACCAGGGGACAGTCATTCAAGCAGAACAAGGGATACTCAAAAACAAGCACACTCACTGCCATCCCAGCGATTTTGACTCATGAGTATGTGGTTTAAAATCAGGAAAAGTGCATATCAAGGTTGTATCCTTTCACCATACTTATTTAATCTGTATGCTGAGCAAATAATCCAAGACGAAGGATGCAACATCAGAACTGGAGGAAGACAACCTGTGATAAGCAGATGACATAACCTTGCTTGTTGAAACTGAGGACAACGTGTGAGGCTCTTGTTGGTGAAGACCAGAGACTTCAGCCTTCAGTGTGGATTACATATCACTTGGAACCAACTGGAGGGCACCTAACAGCAACAACATGCTTAGTGTCTACAGACTGTTGTGCCAATTTGGCTTTTTATGTTGTTGTGTTTTTTTCTGGTAGAATGTCCCACTGTGTCTTTGTGAGGTGGCATGATAGTAGTGATCTTTCTCTGGACTAAGCTTATGTGACTTGTTGGATTATTGCTGCTAGGTGCCTTTGAGTCCATTCCGATTCATAGTAACCTTGGAAATGACAGAAGGAAACACTGTCTGGTCCCGCACCAGCCCCACAATTGTTATGTGTAAGCCAACTGTAGCAGCCACTGTGTCAATCATCTTGTGTGTTGAATTATAGCAAAAAACTAATTGTTCTGTTAAGACAACAAATGCTGTTTGAACTGGGCTTCTTTTCCCTGTCACCTGTAGGTGCCCCCTCTTGTAGAAAGATACATACCATTAAGAGGAAATGTCTGCTGTGTATTACAGCCAAATGAAAGTTACCTGTGACTATGGGTTGCAACCCCATTCTGGCAAAGTTGTGCCTCTCTTTAAAATCTTCTGGAAGCCAGTTGACTGTTACCGCAAGTAGTTTTACTGAAGCCATTGATCTCATTGACTACTTTGTGCCACAGAAGTTATAGCAACCTAAAGTGTGCATCCAGCGAAAACCTTTAAGAAGTTATAACATAGCTCATGTTATTGGTCAAGGTTCAGCAAGAACATGATCATTACTTTGCATTCAACAATCACAATTTATGGGAACCCAAAATGAAGCTCTCTTTTCATTCTTATTATTCCTCTAACAGGACAAATCCTGATGATTCTTTCTGGAGCCGTCAGTAGATGAACTCATCACTCAAAAGACCATAGCAGTGTTAAGGTAAAAGAAAGATTCCTCAAGGGATCAGATCCCACCCCACCCCCCACCCCAAACGCAAACCTTCACAATCTCAGGTTTTGAGTTTGTACTGGCCTAATATAAAATGGTGAAGCAAATCAAAGTTCTACCCCATCTTATCCTTTTCCATCACCTCCCTCTAGACCCCACCCCTAGACCCTCTGCCTTCTTCTAAGCCACACTCCACCGCCTTGACCATCCAGGATGACCCTGATTTTACACTGAGGGCCAGTATGGTATCCGTGTCATTTTATGAAAGGACACCCGGAGGATGGAACGATAAGCTCCAGAGGACAGAACCTCTCGTCCTGGAATGGCACGGATGTGACAAGTGCCAGGGGCAGGGTAATATTGACAGAGGGAAAGCCCATGTATGCACTGTAGACGTCACTGTCCACCCTTCCTATTCTGACAGCCAACCCTACGTACCATCTCTGGAGCTGAATTGGACTTTGTTCTGCCCCAGGCAGTGTGTGGAAGTGGGTGGGGCAAAGAGACTTGGATGTCATCAGAAGTAAGCCGACTAAACTATCTAAGGCCAACGTTTGGGTTCTTGTTAGAGAAGGAGAAGGACACTGGTCCCTTGCTGGAGGTGTGTGTGCATATTTCCAAGGAGTCTCTGATAGATGGATCAGAGTTCGTTTCAAGGATCTGGTGCAGAGAGGTGTCATGTCCTGCTGTTCACTCCTGCGACATCACCCATCGAGTCCTCCTGAGTGGCTAGGCCCTCGATGGCTTGTGGATCCTCTTCTGCGTGCAGACATGTGAGGACCCCAAGACCACAAGGGAAAGCGGAAGGCAAACTTAGGGCCCCACAGCCCCCCTAAGCAACACAAAGCCTGACTTCCCAGGGCCGAAGAAAATGATTTATGTGTCCCTGGAAGCTATTTTTTTTAATTATTTTTAGAAATTATTGTCATCAAGAGCTGGCTGTCAAGAGCAAGATCAACGTGTTTTCTTTGAAAGGAGACAGACTGTGGGGTATTGTGAAAGACCTTAACTAGGAAGGTACTCCTGCCCTGTCCAGACGCTTCTTTTTATATCTGACAGTGGGGGTGGGGGCCTTGTCCTCTCTGGAAGGCTGAGTTCCCACTTCGGAGCAATGAAGCCATTAGATCTAAAACAGAACTGAAGTGAAGGGGAAGCCAGGCGGAGGATGCAACATGCTTTTCCGGGTGCTCGAAGCCAAGCAGGCCTTCAAAATGCTGCGGTTTTTATCATCACCATTTTTGTGGTCATCAAATACCGTGTATTCTGGCACTTACATGATCAGCAAACTTTCTCGTTGCCCAGCCGCTAAGTTTAGACTTTACTCAGTCCTTCCATCTAGTAAGCTAACAAGTACTGAAAACTGACTAACACATTTCGCATGTAGGAATTCTACAGTTTAGTGGTTGCTTACCTGGGACACCTGAAAAAGCCTCAGACTATCCATAAAGTCCAGAAAATTACATGCAGAATTTTGAGGCGGCATTTGTCCCACTGGAAAAAGAATCCATGGCCTCTGTGACTTGGACTCCTGAATCTAACTAAGCAAGATCCGCAGTGATTTCAATGAAAAGACAATTGTCGCATGTGGTTACTCCAACTCTCCTGGGCACCTTAGCGGATCCTGAATACAGATCTTCTCTTCATCCCAAGCTTTCTGCTAAATGTCGGAGACAGCCTGTATTCATTGGGCGCTGTCTGCTATTTTACCTTTGTTTCCACTTGGCTGACTTTAGGAGTACAGCACAGTTAAGGATACTAGAGAACATCCCTCTTAATAGAAAAGAACCCTCAAAAACCAAACTCATAGCCATCAAGTCGATGCTGACTCATAGCAACCCTACAAGACGGTGGGGAGAACTCGCCCTGTGGTTTCTGGGACTGTAACTCTATGGGAATAGGAAGCCTCGTATAGGCTTTAGTAGCTACAAAAACAACCCACTGCTGTCAGCTCCACTCGTAGTAATCTTACATAGTGACAGAGTAGAATGGAGGGAGTGTAGCCAATAGAGTGGCTGGTGGGTTCAAATGGCGAACTTTTGGGTCAGCAGCTGAGCACTTTACCCACTGTGCCACCAAAGCACAAGGTCATCATAAGATGACATTAAAAAAA